TCGGTGGGTAGTTAGGAAATAGAGGAGAAAGAGAACAGCCGTCACGAACAGGGCTGTAATGCGCACACAGATAAATGAACTGAAGCGTGGGCGGCCAATGAGTCCGAGAAATCGTCCCAGTGACGTCACCTATGACGTCAGCACCACTCAAATCTGGGTCGGTCGAGGAGCACTCCCCCATTCACGATTCACGGAAAGCGTGAACGAACGCTTGCGAAAAGGAGTGACCGCATTGAAGCATTCTGGGAAGCATGGACATCGGTCTTCGCGCTCGACATTAGAATACCAAAATGGATCCAAGCAGACACATACACATTACACATGCAAGGAAACATAGCTCGCGGAAACGGGAGATGAGTGAAAATGTGACACGTCTTAAACACCCTGTACATACGAGTAGGTGTTATCTAAGTAGTGTGCATACTGCATTGCATTCACTCTAAACTGACTGAATGAAAAGGGTTTCTGGTGATAAAATAAACAGAGACAGGACGTGAGCCACTAATTATTGCACTTCCTCAGAACTGAGTGTTGCGTTTCCCACCACGTGCCGTGCGGCGGTGACCGCGGTCCGCTCGGGACGGGGCGGTCGGACCACACACGGGCCCGTGGCGTGCCCCGTCCCACGACCGACCCATTGGCGGAGCCGCCTTCGGCGAAGTGACGCACGCCGGATTCCAGAGGCGCGGCCCGGCCCCGGCGGCGGCGTGACAGGTTCCTCGAACCGAACGGCTGTCCCCATCCTGCGCCGGCCGGGTTTTCGGGGAGCCGCCGGCGGTCCGACCGGCCCGGCCCGTCTGGCCCGTCGCGTCGGCCCTCCAGACGAGCGCCCCACCGAATACGGCACCTCCGACGGCCGCCGCGCATAGAAATGAACCGCAGACGTCGGCCCGAGACGGATTAAGATAGTTGTAGCGCAATTTTGTCCGTTTTAGATGCGGATCTAAAGGGCATGCTAATGCCAGATGACTCGACAAAATACTCGAGACCGGGCCCCGCGTGATAGCATAGCCCGTGGGCTTTGGGAAAAATGTTATTGAGGAAGCGCTCACATACTGACCAAATACTCTCACTGATGTTATAACTGTATAAACAATCCTAAGTACAAGAGGGCAAATTTACGCCAGGTGTCTGCTTGAAATATATAAAACGGAATCTAATAAAACTGGTAGCCGCATTCCATCCCGCGCGTCTCGGGCTCCCCCGATGGCTCTGTGGGCGCGGCCGGTCGGAGTGCCGGTGCCGGGGCGTCTCGCGGTCAGTTCACACCTCGGGCAGTCTGTGCAGGCTGGCTGCCGAGTCAGCCCTGCCCAGACAGACGGCGGGTCGCCGCTGCGCTCCGACAACGGGCCGAGCTGCAAAAACGTGTCGGTACCAGCAGCCGGCGGGCGGCCGGCCGGGGCTGGCACCCCGCCGCGCCAGACAGGCGTGCGCGAGTACGCTCTCTCGTAAGCGCGGCTGCTGGATGGTGGCGAGGCCGCCGGCCGTCCGTCTGCGACCGTCTGCGTGCCTGTCTGTGTGCGTGTTTACAGTCTGCGGAGTGCGGACACGCCCCGGCAGAGGACACGCACCCAGTGAGGACAGAGGGGCCCCCGTCTGGGAGGGACGCGCGGGCAGCAATCAGACCCACATTCGAATTGGAGGGATAAGTATTGATTCTTCAAAAAAAAAAAAAAATATATATGACCAAATTTGTAGAGTACTGAGTAAGTGAAGAAACCGACAATTGCCAGAAGGAACGTCATAAAAATTGTTTGACCAAAAACTATTCAACCAAATAAAATGACTCAGTTGAAATATTTAATTCCCAAATAGCGAACAATTCTACATCATGAGCGATATCAACTTTTTTTTAGAGCTATAAAATGAAAGAAAACTCTATTTCTGTTGTTTGTATATAGTCCCCGTACAACACAAGACTTCATTCACCCAGCCTTCAGTAAAACCCAAGGACCGTTCCTGGTGCGGAGAGTGCCGCTTCTTCCCAATACCATCTTCCCACCCATCCTCTGGCCACGTCAGCCGCTCGCACCGGCCGGCAGGCGCACCGACCCCAGTTTGATGGGCCATTTCGACTTTTTTCGGTTTTTGGGACGCGCCGTCGTGGTGCCCATGTAAAGTTTACGATGTCGTGCGCGCCCGTGCGCTCTCAGTGCAGGCAGATGCGGAAGGTTCAAGAGCGGACACGACTGTCCGTGGCTCACGCAGCCGGTATATGGATACGACAGTGTCTGATCGAGGGGCAGGCGCTTTGGGACTTCATCAGACACGTTTTAGTTCCCATGTGCTCTTGAACACCAGCACGGTAGAGCACTTTGTTCCCCGTCAGTTTTGATATAGGTACGAGTACATATGTAAAGGATTGTAATTCCATTCATCAGAAATGATGAAGCCAAGGCAAATCAAAGATGGTGTTCAATGAAAAGTGAATTGCATATGCCTGAAGCAAAATTTTGAAACTAGCCCCAATAAGCAATACTACGCTCTGGTTTGCCGCCATCCTAAAGTTACCGGTTCACCAGTTTTGTCATGCTTGATATGCTTGATCGGCGTTAGCAGACGCCTCAAAGCTATCCAGTATCCAGTATGGTAAGTGGTGGCATACTTAGTGCTGTATGAATGACTTATAGCCAAGTTAGAATCTAGTTATGTGCCGATTTACAAATCAATCAATCGAATAGAATACAAAATAGTAGGTTACGGAGGATTCCATAACATGCATATTTTGAAACTTCTAGCTCGCATACAAAACTCAAAGGCCTTTCCAGGCGTAGCTCAACAAGATGAGCGACGGAAAGTCTGATGAGATGGACAGTGGGCTGCTATGCAAACTGAATTATGCACAGAGTCCTCAACAGCCCTCATATTTAACCAGGCACTGGGAGCCGTGCAAACGGCGGGCACCAGTGAAAATGCAAGAGAATGCTAATTAGCCACCATTTAACCGCCAATCAAAACAAGCGCGAACATCGACCAATCACAAGAACTTGCTCGAAGATCGCCCGCTTGCCAGGTGCTTCGTACATACAATATGCTAACAAGCCGGCACCGGGCACGGACGTTCAGCAGGCGCAGCGTCCGGCCGCGGCCAACCGAGCGGCGGCGGCGGCGGCGGCTCTGGCAGCCCGTCGGCCGTCTGCAATGGTAATTCGGACCATCCTGACCTCCGTCACTGGGCACGAGCGCCGTGACCACTTCCCAGTGCCTGTGGGAGCGCGGCCGGCCGCCCGAGAGCCGATCAAAGGCACCGCCACGGCCGGCCAGGGCCAGGGTGCACGGCACAAGCCGCTAAGAACACGGCTAATGGGTCCGTGGCTGATTCACGACGCTAGAGACGAATGATGTCATAGGTCGTGTGTTGCTGACGGGGTACAATGGGTGGATACAAATCTGCAGAGAATTATGGACATACGGCAATGTCGGCCAGTGGAAATTTGTGAGGTGCAGAAATTCACGGTCATCTTGTAAAACGTGTCATACTTGTGCAATGTGCAGTACGGTGAAACGGGTGTGCCAGGTCTTTACGGAAACAACGCATCGCTAACGCTCCTGGCTTGCAATAAATACAATAGAAACGGTCATGCAACATAAGAAGCGCACTTACAACGTAATATTAGATAGACTAGTCGCGAACGATGAGAGAAACTGAAAGAAGTCATTGAGTTCTGAACGAGAGAACGAGATAGTTAAGACGAAAACTTCATAGTAGCATAACTGCCTAAATGGAATGGATGCATTGCCTCAAACACCAGCATCTTGAGATTATACAGCATCATTTAACAGCAAAAATAATAGCAACCAGTATAGCGCCTTTTGGGGCGACTAACGGAGCGACCGAGGGGGTGAGTCTTGCACGTGCGAAATTTCGAGGGGGTACCTCCAACTGACTTGTGCACGGCACCCTACTGACCGGTTTCTAGCGATGTGCCAAATTTGAGCACAATCGGCCCAGCCGTTCTCGAGATCTGGGAGCGGCACCCTGCACGTGCGCACGTGCAAAATGGGTCCCAACTGACTTGTGCACGGCACCCTACGAACTGGTCCCTAGCCGTGTACCAAATTTGAGCGCCATCGGTCCAGCCGTTCTCGAGATCTGGAAACGACCCCTGCACGTGCGCACGTGCAGCAGCACCCCAACTCTGGCACATGGATATGCAGTGCCTAGTGGGTGCCTACCTACATGCCAAATTTCAGCGCAATCGGCCAAGTAATTACAGAGATATTGCAACAATTACAAAACTGACACCTCTTCGTTTTGCACGTGGCACCTGCATAAGGGGTCACCCACATACATCGGGAATAGTCCAATACTTGGTAGAAGGAATGAAGCTACCATATAAAAATTACCGCGTGTAAATCGGTCAAGTGGTTGCTGAGATATAAGCCTCGCAAAAGCGTCCGCACGGCCGGCCGGCCGGCCGGCCGCTCATACTCAGAAATTTCCGTTAATCTAAGGAAAGACTCCGCTCGCTTCGCTCGCTCCGTAATGATCAGTACGCAAATTTAAATGGCCATTGCATGCAGTAAAACTAACTTTAACAAATATGCCAGTTTGCGGTGATATGAGAAAGAAAATGTTTAACACACACATAATCTAGAAGGACGCAGAACGGCATGAACGTTAGATGCTGACGAAGCAGGGAGCCGTTAAAACACAGGTGGAGAATCCGGAAAGGCTGGTTGGAATAGACGAGAGATACATGTTTGTGCGAAGGCGGAAACAGGACATACTGTAAGGTCCGAGGCAAAAGACGCGTGAGAAACTGACGGGTAGGAGACGTGTGGAGAAAGGTAAGAAAGATCCGAGAGGCTGACAGACCGGAACTAGGTAGGTAGGCAGACAAACAGATCGACATACACAGAGACAGCAGACTGACATGCTGACAAGCTAGCACCACCCATCAGGTCTCTCTCTCTCTCTCTCTCTCTCTCTCTCTCTCTCTCTCTCTCTCTCTCTCTCTCTCTCTCTCTCTCTCTCTCTCTCTCTCTCTCTCTCTCACCTGGTCAGTTGAGTCACAGTGACGGCAGACGCTGACTCTGCCGGTGGCCCCGAGTCGGACTTGAGCGGCGGGATGGACTCGATGACGAAGTAGTTGGGCTCGCTCGAGGGGCCCTGCAGTGGCAGCGAGAGCGCGCCGTTGAGCGCCGCGCAGACAAGTGCCGTCACCAGGCTGAACATGTTGACAAGTGGGAGCGCAGAGACAGGCTACCTCCTCAGAAGGATTCCCACAGCCAATTGCACCGGAGACGGCCAGTGTGCACGGTTTTCTCTGGTGGCGCGGACGCCGCCGCACAACGTTCGACCAATCAGCAGGCAGCCGCCGCCGCCGCCGCCGCCGCCGCCGCCCCCGCCCAGCCGCTCAGGGTGACGACCGCCCCAGGGCGGCGGAGCTGAAGACAACTCGATGATGAGAGGAGATGACTGTCCCGATGACGGTGTCTCAGGGCCGAGGTCGTCTGATGACGGGGCGTCATCAGGTGATGCCGTTCTCGGTCGGATGCGCGCTGGTGCCGCCGCCGGCCCCGGCGGACGGAGGGAGGGGAGGGAGGGGAGGCGGGTGGGGTGCCGGCGCGCCAGACACCGTGGGGCCAGGGCGCGCGCCGCCGCCGCCGCCGTCTGGATCGGACCAGTCGGGCCGCTGCCGCCGCGCCCGGCGCACACGTGAGGCCCGCCTCCGCTTCGAGCGGACACTACTGGTGGGCGGCAGTCCGCCGCATCGGCACCACTGCTGCATGCTGCTCGGAAAACCTCAGCTGTCCTTTCAGAGTAATAAGTCAACAATGAGAAAAATAGAACGCACAGTGCACACTTATTCTTTAGCATACCACATGTAAATTTACCTTTTCGGGTTTGGCTCTGCTCGTCTGTTATCGGATCAATTAAGGTCCGTTGGATGAGAAATTGTAGAGAACACATTGGACTGATTTAACCACAGAATGCAGAGCGCCGCAGCGGTAAGGCCCATCTCGTCGATATAGGTGTCCTGCTGAGATAGATGTACAAACGGTCACTCCTCACAGCCAATGCTCCGCTATCCGCACTGTCCTCCGTTATCCACATAGTTGACCGCCAGTAGGGAGCGTGAAAATGTGATTCGGTGAAATGTGAATAAGGGGAAGTTGATACCGAACATAAGCGGGACGGATGATATGCAACCATGCTTCACACGAGCGTATTCATCTGTCTCAGCCAGGATTACTTTTGTGGATTGGAGAAAAAAACTCACACTAATGTTCAGAGAATAAATCCCAACTTTCAAATCTGTCGGTAACGCTTAGAATGAAAGTGAGAGATTAAACCACCGTTCGGCTGAAACTGGCATTTATTGATGCAATGAAATATAGGTCATATCTTTAAAAAAAATCAACGAAGTCCAACGGGAAATTGTACAGAAGCGGTAGTATTGCTAGAGGACAAGCAACATTGAATTTCAAGGGGATCGCATCACCAATTCACGAGTTTACGTGAATAGTCCGAAGGGGGCGTTCAAATGCCCCCTTTCCCTCAGTCAATGGTGCATGAAAAGAGAGGTGGGTGGAAAAATGACAATCGAGTGACTATAAGATGATGGCCTGCTTATAAAAACATTCGGATTTCGGAGCGAATTTCGTTATTTCAAGTAATGTTCATCACCCGACAACATGCAAAAAAAAAAAACGTAAGTTATAAGTAATAGCCAAAAACTTAATCCTCGTCGGACCTATTGGTTTTCTCACGGTGACTATGTTTCCTGTCGGCCGAGCAGGGGGGGAGGCGCGAGTACAAACCCCCCTCACCGTTTCGCCCCTTAATTGAGCTAGATCTTTACAGAAAGACTGATGTGTGTGCCGTTATGAGGCGCAGCGACTGGTATTCGATTTAAAAGTTTCAGGTCAACCGGTGACCTCAGAGGTCAGGTCAAGCACACCATGGTACGGGTCCGGTGCTTGTAAAAACGCTCACCAAAAATGGTCGCAGAGCCACGATTTTGATACCATCGTGTTTGCCATGCCCAATCGCTTCGAATGATATACCTTTTGTCTGTGTGAGGTCAGCTTAAAATGTTGACTTCGGGTCAAGGTCAGGTCAGAGCCACTCAGGTCACGAAGTTGGTCGAAGGAGGTCATATTGCATATCATTCGGTTCGGCTGGTGTTCCCGAGCCCATTGGTGGTGTTCACGACTCGCTAGCTCAATTTGATCGGGAACTATTGACAAAAACTCATATGACCTTAGTTACGTCATTTATAACGCCACGCAAGGTCAGCGATGCAAAAATGAAGCATCGAACCTTGCCAGAAGTGTATGTAATCACTATTCTATGTGCGTGACGTAGTTTTAGATCATTCCAGTGGTGCCAAAACAACAGTTTCCAGTTTCCACATTTCCCCGCTTATAATCGTGAGATCACATGACTGACCTGACCTCAGGTGACCTTAAGGAAAAATCCTAGATAAAGGTACAAGTTGTGAGACCTGTGGAGGATGCTAGGTCCTGTAAGTTTCATCTTACTGTGAGGGCTCCTCTGGCACTGAGGGTGTTGCGAAGTTGCGAAATTTTAGGACTGTGCAGAGGTTCGCTTTTTACGTTAAAGGTCAGTGACCTGACCTGACTTGAAAGCGCCATTGAAATCAAAGGTCAGGCTCAGATATGTATGCCAAATTTCAGCTCTCTATCGCCTGCGTGTTCCGAGCTATCGTGAAAAAACGGAAAACCCTATGGAGGGGAAGGGGAAACCCATCCCTCGGCCGGCGCATAGGCGCGGGAACCGCGGGAGGGGGGGGGGGGGCAGTGGGGGCAGCTTGCCCTCCACCCAACTCTGGGTCCGTGGGGGCGGTGCCCCCTCAACTTTGAGACGGAATACCGCACTTTTTATGCAAATGTTTTCTTTTTTGTTGCAAAAGTCAATAGGTGGCCTAAACACGGTGAGAAAATTCGATTTAGGGGTGCCCTAGGTCAGATCTCTATTATGGTGTGCCGGTGCCCCCCCCCCCCCAGTCTGAAAGTAGCTCCCGCGCCCTTGCCTGGGGTCGAAACTTTTGCACACGATGGAAAAATGATGTAGTTATGATAAGCTAGAAGTTTCGTAACGCTGAGCCCCGCGGGTTACTTAACACGCAAAAACAAACTGGAGAGTGCGACTGCGGACAAAAAAGCCCACATCCACCCCCACCCAGTCAATTTATCTCGCTCGGGGTTCTCAATGTTTTTGTCGAATGCATATGATAAAAAAGTGTTATATGAGGCGTGCTTCACCTTGCACACTGCATAGTTGACAGTTCCAGGCAGTCAGGTACACCCGCCGACAGTCACATCGGCACCGCCATGTCAGGCCCGATGAATCACGTCCATTGATGTAAGTGTGACGAGGTGAACGATGCCACAGCTTTATTATTTTTAATGACAAAGTTGTTCAACATGATGACAAGTTCTGCTGAGGTTTCGGCATGAGCTCACCACTGGGCTTGGTTCATAGGTGGGTGCCGCTTTACAGTGAAACCAGACGGTAAGAAATACCGCATTTGATCGGAAACAAGGACCATAAATCGTGTTGTGTAATTAAATTGAGGATTTGCCAAATGTATGCTTGCGTCATGTCTGTTAGTTTTGGCTCCTATCACTTGTTCAAGAAACGCAATTGCAGTCTGGGCGAATGGTACGAGGAAGCAAAGTTTTTCAGTGGTGTTAGCAAACAATGATCAATGATCATGGCAGTCTAGTCGGAACAGGGACATTCCGGACGATAAATGTGAATAACTGACTATGTCTCATGCACTTTCCGAAGCCACGAATAATTGCACTGAGTAATGAGTATACATACATGTACAGGGCTCGTCTTACTGCGGGGTAGGTATTCTTTTATCGGCAAAACCGATAATAACTCAAAGACAATGTTATCGGTCACTTGGAAATCATGACACGAACATGCGCGAGTCTCCACACCTTAGATTGGGCTGATTAGTGTTATCGCGTACATTTTTCAACCAGTTTGGCGGCAATATACAAGTTTATACATGCCACAAAAATAAACTTCTGCTTTTTGTTGTCACACACAAGTCACATTGAACGCATGGTCATATTGAAGTCACATTGACATTGAACAAGTCACATTTTGTTGACTTGTTCAATGATAGACCTTATCGAGAGAGTGGAGCATCACGCGCCTCCGTGTTGAGTTCTGACTTCCGATCGACTGATAACATAGCCTTCGAGTTATTCTAGGTTTGGTCGAGGGAGAAAAAAAAATTAAATACCTTCCACGCAGTGAGACGGGGACTGTCTACAATGTATATGTATGTAACTGTCCCGCCTGATTCTTCATAGGTATGCGCTCTTCTTGATCGGGTGCAAGGTTGCTGGTGGAACAATGAACATCCCCTCAGATAACTCTATTAATATCCTCAACTGATCTCAGAAATATGATCTGTCAATATATTCGTGAACCAAATGAGACATCTCTCCATAATCTCATCGAGTTTGTCTCGTTGTAGCTTCATTGTTGTTGCATACTCGGGCTTTTCGTTTTGTCGGCTACCTGATGCATCTTCTCAGCAAATGTCGCTTGAGTTTTAACCATTCATATCTATAGAAAGAGAAGCTTTCTGTAAAACGAAATATGCCTATCAGGAAATGGCGGTGTAGTCAGTAACTAGGATAAACAAACATTGAAATCAATATCAACACCTCGAAAGTATAGGTACCTATTTATGGCGAAAAACGAAGGGCGGAAGACGGAAACGGCGAAATACGTTCACCGTGTTGCAGTTTGCACGTGCCAAACAGGCACACCAGAGCGGTGACCCGCTGGTGGAGGCATGGATGGGTGGGGGAGCAGGGATGATTGTGGCTTGATCCTCTCCTCAGGATCGCCGTGCGTCTCGCCGTGACCGGCGCAGCGGTCTAGGAGCCCTGTGCCGTAGATGGCGCCATGTGCAGGGTCGGTACCCACCGGACCAGTCCGCCCCCCCCCCCCCCCCCAGCGGCTGACACAGGGCCGTCAGTCAGACAGACAGCCCCGCGCGGGCATGACAGAACTCCTAAGATACGGGTTAGGCTCGGAGCTCTTAAAAGGTTAACATTAGCGAACAAGCCGAACATGCAGCGGCCTCGCTAGAGATACCTACCTAAAGATAT